AAAACAAAACAAAACAAAACAAAAACAAACAAACAAACAAAAAACCCAGCGCACACCATAGAAACCGGCAGATATAAAGATGTAGAGACTGAGTGGGTCCAGTCTCTCAGGCCAGCTCTGCTCCCTCCTGGAGGCTGCAGGGGCTTGATCTGCAGAAAGGACGTCTGTCTCCATGGAAACAGCAGAAGCAGGGGAGGGGAGCCGGGCCTAGCTGGTGACATTCAGGCAGAAGGTGGGGAGGGGGCTTGTAAACACCAGGAAGCCCCTGACCTCACCCCTCCTCCCCCCTTCTCCCCCTAGCTCCAGGCCTGCCTGGGGGCGATGCCAGCTATAGAGGGGGTCTTTCAGGGCAGGGCGCTGTTTGGAAACCAGAGCACAATTCACTTTCTGCTCCTTGGATTTGTCTCTACAAGTATAAGGTGGGAAGGGGGTTTTGAGTTGTTGCAAAGTAGCTTGGCCACAGTGGGCCTCTCCAGCCACCCCTGGGAGCTCTGGGACCCCCAGATGACCCCTTAAATCTTTTTTTTTTTTTCTGAGACGGCGTGTCACTCTGTGCCCAGGCTGGAGTGCAATGGCACAATCTTGGCTCACTGCAATCTCCACTTCCCGAGTTCAAGCAATTCCCCTGCCTCAGCCTCCCAAGTAGCTGGGATGGCAGGTGCCTGCCACCACATCCAGCTAATTATTTTGTATTTTTAGTAGAGACGGGGTTTCACCATGTTGGCCAGGTTGGTCTCCATCTCCTGACCTCATGATCCACCCACCTCAGCCTCCCAAAGTGCTGAGATTACAGGCGTGAATCACCATGCCCAGCCCCCTTAAATCTTTTTGATTAAAAAAAGCCTCCTGAAAAAAAAAAAAGGCCGGGTATGGTGGCTCACGCCTGTAATCTCAGCACTTTGGGAGGCCGAGGTGGGTGGATCACCTGAGGTTAGGAGTTCAAGACCAGCCTGGCCAACATGGTGAAACCCTGTCTTAAATAAAATAATAAAAATAAAAATAAAAATAATAAAAAATAATAAAATGAATAAGAAAGCCTCATGGGTTCAAGCAATTCTCCTGCCTCAGGCTCCTGAGTAGCTGGGATTACAGGTGTGTGCCACCATGCCTAGCTAAATTTTTTTTTTTTTGTATTTTTAGTAGAGATGGGGTTTCACCATGTTGGTCAGGCTGGCCTTGAACTCCTAACATGATTCGCCCGCCTTGGCCTCCCAAAGTGTTGGGATTATGGGTGTGAGCCACCTTGCCTGTTTTTATTTATTTATTTATTTATTTATTTATTTATTTATTTGAGATAGGGTCTTTCTCTGTTACCCAGACTGTAGTGTACTCTCTGTTACCCAGGCTTGAGTGCAGTGGGGAAGCCATAGCTCACTGCAGCCTTCACCTCCTGGGTTCAAGCAATCCTCCCACCTCAGCCACCTGAGTTGCTGGGACCATAGGCGTGTGTCACTGAGCCTCGCTAATTTTGTGTTGTTGAGATGGTGTCTCACTGTGTTGCCCAAGCTGGAGTGCAGTGAGGCAGTCTCAGCTCACTTGAATCTCTACCTCCCCAGTTCCAGTGATTCTCCTGCCTCAACATCCCGAGCAGCTGGGACTATAGGCAGAGGCCACCACACCTCGTTAATTTTTGTATTTTTAGTAGAGATGGTTTTGCCATGTTACCCAGGCTGGTCTCTAACTCCTGAGCTCAAATAACCCTCCCACCTCGGACTCCCAAAGAGTTAGGATTACAGGCGTGAGCCACCGTGCACAGCCCAATTTTTAATTTTTTATAGAGATGGGATCTTGCTAGGTTGCCCAAGCTAAGAGCTTTGTCTCTATTTCTGAAAAATATGAGTACAGGACATAGGAGCCAGCCTTCCCCCACCTTCATCCCTCCTCCCTCCTTCCCGGAAGCCGAAGCGGGAGCGCAGATGCAGTAGGTCTTTTTCAAGAAGCTGCAGTTCCCGCCGCCTCTGCCCCACCCTACCTTACCTGGGCTGTTACCTGAGTCCCTTTGCTGGCAGTGGCGGTGGCCACAGAACCAGGCACCCAGCACCATTGAGGCCACACCCACGCTCTCCACCCCCAGCATCACAAAGAGGAGTCCTGGGTGGGGGGAGAAGGGATGGTCTAAGCGGGAGGTTGGGGATGGTGATGGGGGAGGAGGTCGCTGCGGGAGGAAGATGCTGGGGGAGGAACATGGGGTAGGGCCCACCTGGGAAGTTTGGGGTTGGGTTTCTGTTCTGTGGGGGGTCATCTACAGACAGGAAATCTATGTTCTGGGAGGGTGTCAGGCTCCTGTACCCTCCAAGGACAGACTGCACAAAGGGGGACATAAGTGTTCTTCCTTCTGCCAGGCTTTGTGGTTTCAGGCAGATGTTTACTCTGAACCTCAGTTTCCTCTTCTGAAAAATGAGGCTCGACAGGGCATGGTGACTCATGCCTACAATCCGAGCACGTTGGGAGGCTAAGGCAAGAGGATCACTTGAGGTCAGGACTTTGAGACCAGCCTAGGCAACATGGTGAAACCCTGTCTCTACTAAAAAGATAAAAATTAGCTGGGCATGGTGGTGCACACCTGTAATCCCAGCTACTCAGGAAGCCGAGGCAAGAGAATCACTGGAATTCAGGAGGCAGAGGCTGCAGTAAGCCAAGATTGTGCCACTGCACTCCAGTGTGGGTGATAGAGCAAGACTCTGTCTCAAAAAAAAAGAAAAGGGTGGGGTGGGGAGTTGAGGAGACATAGCATGGGGAGAAATGCCAGATACAGGTGATGGGGAGGAGGGCAGCAAATCACAGTGCCATGTGTGTACTATGCAACAATCTTGCATGTTCTTCACATGTACCCTAAAACCTAAAATGCAATAAAAAAATAAAGAAAGAAAAATGAGGCTTATGATCCCTGTCTGGTTGGGTCATTGTGGAAAACTGCCAGCTTGGACTTGTCATCATGAGCTCCGCCATCTTCGTCCTGGGGCTCCTGTTAGGTTGTTTCTCTGTTTGAGAGTGGACTCTGAGCCATACCATTTTACAGATGGGGAAACGGAGGCTCAAAGCACCTAAGTCTCTTGGCAAGGGTCCCCTACCCAGGAGGCAGCCAGGACCAGCTTTGAACAAAGCCCTTTCTCACCTCAGCTCAGAGAAGGTAACACTTAGGTTACTTGAGCACTTACTATGTCCAGGTCCTGTGCTAAGCACTGCTTTGTTATTGCTGTGTGTTCTTCTTTTCTTTTCTTTCTTTCTTTTTTTTTTTGAGTCAGAGTCTTGCTCTGTCACCAGGAGCCAGGCTGAAGTGCAGTGGCATGATCTGGGCTCACTGCAATCTCCACCTCCTGGGTTCAAGCAATTCCCCTGCCTCAGCCTCCCTGCTGTGTGTTTTTCTGGAGACATGGTCTCTCTGTGTCACCCAGGCTGTAGTGCAGTGGCACGATCATAGCTTACTGCAGTCAACAAATCCTGGGCTCAAGCGATCCTCCCACCTCAGCCTCTCAAGTAGCTGGGATTATGGGTGCGTGCCACCATGACTGGCTAATTTTAGAATTTTTTGTAGAGATGGGATCTTGCTGTGTTGGCCAAGCTGGTCTTGAACTCCTGGCCTCAAGCAATCCTCCTACCTTGGCATCCCAGAGTGCTGAGATATGAGGCGTTAGCCACTGCACTTGGATTATAACTTTATAAAGTGGATAGTACTTTAGCTATAACCCCTCTAAAGTCACCTAGCCTGATGAGGAAACACTATTCACTGTATTTTGACAGCAGAGGGAACTGGCACAGAGAGGTCAAGTCACTTGCTCAAGGTCACACAGCAAGTAAATGAAACAGAGGTTTGAATCCAGGTTTGTATAATTTACAGGAACCCCAGCCTAAAAGCTGTGAATGCCCCAATTAAGATAAGCTCTGGCACCCCAACCCTCTCCTTCCACAGCCTCTGAGGTTGGCAGGCAATCTCTGGGGGCTACCAAGCTGCTATTCGGGGTTGGAGGGGGTGGGGAAGCCAGCTGTGTGAGGCTGGACCCATGCCGGCTCCCCGCTCTCTCAAGCTGCCAATGCACAGCCTGGCGCCTCCACCACCCCGCCTCCTCTAATTGCTAATTGGCCCCTTTGACATTGGAGGGGTGGGGAGAGGTGGGTAAGGCAGCCATAACACATTCCTCCCTTGAGGCAGTCACTTGTCCCTGCCAGCAGGCTGGTCCTTCCAGCTGGAGAGGAATGGGCATCTCTAGGGGCTGGGAGCTGGGAGCTCCCTTCTGCCAGAGGGGGCTGGGAAGATGGCCAGGCCCACAGGCACCCCTCACAGAGCAGGAGGGAAAGCCTGCATCCCCTTGAATTTCTCAATTCTGCCCAGGGTGGGTCTATAAGGGGGTGACATGGCAAAGTGGGGAGTGTATAGGCTGCACCCCTGCCTAGTGGATAGTACTACACATGTCTTGGCTCTCACTGGCCTTACCTGTCTCATCTGTAAAATGAGGCAGCTGCCTTTGCTGATATGGAGAGTTTCTTCCAACTTTGAGAGTCCATGGCTTCTATGTGAGAGGGAGTCTCACTCTGTGGCCCAGGCTGGAGTGCAGGGCTGTGATCACTGCAACCTCCATCTTTCAGGTTCAAGCAATTATCCTGCCTTAACCTCCCGAGTAACTGGGATTATAGGCGCGCACCACCACACCAGGCTAATTTTTGTGTTTTTGTAGAGGGGGGGGGGTTCATCATGCTGGCTAGGCTGGTCTCGAACCCCAGACCTCAGGTGATCCACCCACCTTGGCCTTCCAAAGTGCTGGGATTACAGGCATGAGCTACTGCACCTGGACGATGGCTTTATTTTATTCAGAGACAAGATAACACTCTGTTGCCCAGGCTGGAGTGCAGTGGTGTGCTCATAGCTGACTGCAGCCTCCAACTCCTGGGCTCAAGTGATCCTCTCGCCTTAGCCTCTCAAAGTGCTGGGACTACAAGCATCAGCCACTGTGTCTGGCTGATGACTTTAAATTCTGGATTCTAGAATTCTAGGCTTCTGTTTCTTTGTTTGTTTGTTTATTGGAGACAGAGTCTCACTCTGTCATCAGGCTGGAGTGCAGTTGCATGATCTTGGCTTATGGCAACCTCTACCTCCCAGGTTCAGTTGATTCTCCTGCCTCAGCCTTCCAAGTAGCTGGAACTACAGGTGCACACCACCACAACCAGTTAATCTTTTAATTTGTAGTAGAGACAGTTTCACCATGTTGGCCAGGATGGTCTCAGTCTCCTGACCTCGTGATCTGCCTGCCTTGGCCTCCCAAAGTGCTGGGATCACAGTTGTGTACCACTGTGCCCAGCCAGGATTCGGGTTTTACACAGACTAAAATTGCAAAATTCTGGCTGGGCATGGTGGGGCATACCTGTAATCCCAGCCCTTTGGGAGGCCAAATTAGGTGGATCACCTGAAGTCAGGAGTTCAAGGCCAGCATGGACAATGTGGTGAAACCCATCTCTACAAGTAAAGAAAAATTGGCTGGGCGTGGTGGCTTGTGCCTATGATCCCAGCACTTTGGGGAGCCGAGGCGGACAGATCACCTGAGGTTGGGAATTCCAGACCAGATTGATCAACATGGTAAAACCCGGTCTCAAAATGAATGAATGAATGAATGAATGAATGAAAGGAAAATTAGCTGGGCATGGTGGCCACACCTGTAATCTCAGCTACTCGAGATGCTGAGGCAGGAGAATTGCTTGAACCTGGGTGGCGGAGGTTGCGGTGAGGCAAGATCATGCCATTGCACTACAGCTTGGACAACAAGAGCAAAACTCCATCTAAAAAAATTTGATCTGAGTAGCTGGGATTACAGGCATGCACAACCATGCCTGGCTAATTTTGTATTTTTAGTAGAGACAGGGTTTCACCATGTTGGATAGGCTGGTTTCCAACTCCTTACCTCAAGTGATCCACTCACCTCAGCCTCCCAAAGTGCTGGGATTACAGGTGTGAGCCACCATGCCCAGTCAGATTCAAGAGTCTTAAGATTCTGGAAGGGCAAAGTGGCTCATGTCTGTAATCCCATCACTTTGGGAGGCCAAACCATGTGGATTACCTAAGGTCAGAAGTTTGAGACCAGACATGCCAACATGGTGACACTCCATCTCTACTAAAAATACAAAAATTAGCCAGGCATGGTGGTGAGCAATTGGAATCCCAGCTACTTGGGAGGCTGAGGCAAGAGAATCTTTTGAACCTGAAGGTGGAGGTTGCTGTGAGCCAAGATAGTGCCACTGCAGTCTAAGGCCTGAATGACAGAGCAAGACTCTGTCTAAAAAAAAAAAAAAGTTTGATATGATGAATTTTGAGTTTTTGTGTCTAGGAGCTTGATATTCAAAAGTCTTAAGAGTCTAGGACCTGGCTGGATGTGGTGGCTCACTCCTGTAATCCCAGCACTTTGGGAGGCTGAGGCAGGCAGATCACCTGATGTCAGGAGTTCTCAACTAGCCTGAGCAACATGGTGAAACCCCATCTCTACTAAAATACAAAAAATTAGCTGGGCATGGTGGTGTGTGCCTGTAATCCAGCTACTCAGGAAGTTGAGGTAGGAGAATCGCTTGAGCGTTTCTCCAGGAGGTGGAGGTTGCAGTGAGCCGAGATTGTGCCACTGCACCCCAACCTGGTGACAGAGTGAGACTCAGTCTCAAAAGAAAACAAAAATTAGCCAGGCATAGTGGTGAGCACCTGTGATCCCAGCTACTCAGGAGGCTGAGGCAAGATAATCTCTTGAACCTGGGAGGTGGAGGTTGCTGTGAGCCAAGATATTGCCACTGCACTCCAAGATCTGGACAACAGAGTAAGGCTCTGCCTCAAAAAAAAAAAAAAGTTTGATATGAAGAATTGAGAGTTTTTTGTTTCTAGGAGTTTGAGATTCAAAAGTCTTAAGATTCTGGGATCTGGCCAGGTGTGGTGGCTCATGCATGTAATCCCAGCACTTTGGGAGGCCCAGGCAGGTGGATCAGGAGGTCAGGAGATAGAGGGCATCCTGGCTAACACAGTGAAACCCCATCTGTACTAAAAAAATACAAAAAATTAGCCGGGCATGGTGGTGCGTGCCTGTAATCCCAGCTACTTGGGAGGCTAAGGCAGGAGAATCACATGAACCCAGGAGGTGGAGGTTGCAGTGAGCTGAGATTGTGCCACTGTACTCCAGCCTGGGCGACAGAGTGAGACTCCATCTCCAAAAAATAAATAAATAAATAAAAAGATTCTAAGATTCTCTCCACTGACCCCCCCTCTCTCTGCTGGTTCCTGTACCTGGGTCCATGGAGAGCCATGTTCCATTGCCCTCAGCCTCCTCCAAGTCAGGAATCTCTGTGGCCACCGTGCACATGTAGTTTCCACTGTGGTTGAGAATCACAGGGTCCAGCCGCATGGTGAGATGGCTGGGTGCCTGCCAGGAGAGCCATCCCAGGGGCCCACAGAGCCCCAGGCTGAGGCTGCCATTGGTGATGTATGGCTGGCACAGGACGCTCCCATCTTTGGTCCACTCAACATGGAGCTGTTCCCAGGCCGGGGCCTGGTCCACCTGGCAGGCCATAGTTGCCTGACTGCCCTGCCTCACCTGCAGTTGCTGGGGCCCTTGCTGCTCGTTCACGCTTGAGGATCCTTACAGGGCAGGAGGACAGAAGAGATGGAGGCGACCTTTCTCAGTGTGTGCGTGTGAGGCTGTGTGACTCCCTCACAGAGAAATCCCACAGTCTGTGTTTGAAACTCCACTTGTCTAAGCTGGGCACAGTGGTTCACATCTGTAGTCTCAGCACTTTGGGTGGCTGAGGTGGGTGGATCACCTGAGGTCAGGAATTTGAGACCAGCCTGGTCAACACAGTGAAACCCTATCTCTACTAAATATACAAAAATTAGCCGGGCGCAGTGGCTCACGCCTGTAGTCCCAGCACTTTGGGAGGCCAAAGAGGGAGGACTGCTTGAGCCCAGGAGTTCCAGACCAGCCTGGGAACATAGCAAAACCTCATCTTTACAATAAATATTTAAAAAGTAGTGGTCAGGCATGATGGCTCATGCCTGTAACCCTAGCACTTTAGGAGTCTGAGACAGGCGGATCACATAAGGTCAGGAGTTGGAGACCTGCCTGGCCAAGATGGTGAAACTCCATCTCTACTAAAAACACAAAAATTAGCTGCACGTGCTGGTGGGTGCCTGTAATTCTAGCTACTTGGTAGGCTGAGGCAGAAGAATCATTTGAACCCAGGAGGCGGAGGTTGCAGTAAGCCAAGATCGTGCCATTGCACTCCAGCCTAGGTGACAGAGCGAGAAGTCATCTAAAAAAAATATAAAAATTAGCTGGGGGCCGGGCGCGGTGGCTCAAGCCTGTAATCCCAGCACTTTGGGAGGCCGAGGTGGGTGGATCACGAGGTCAAGAGATCGAGACCATCCTGGTCAACA